TATATATATATTACGAACATGTTTCACAATCATTTTATAAACAGCAATACATTTAATAACTAAATTTCCAATTATTTATTTTCAAAATTTTCTATTTTACTTTTAGTAAAAAATCTTAAGTCTGTAGATAATGGCTCAAATACCTCCTTAAGTTTAACTCTGTGGGACTTTCCACCAATTTTATCATCCACCTGGCAAAACTAATCTGATTGGTTATAAAAGTATCAGCACACCTGCTCAACAGGCAGAAACTGACATGACAAACAGCTCAAACAAAGAGAGGAATTTTTCAGTATCAAAGGGAAGTCAACACTTTTCAGGAAGTCAAACAAAAATGGCTTACTTATTGTCTCTAAACATTAAGCTGTGACCGGAGGAAAAAAAGAAGAAGGGGAAAAAAACACAGCTTAAATGCTTTAAAAAAAGTGGTCTATTACATGAATGCTTATTTCCTCACTCTGCACCAAACACACACACAGTGATGATATCAGGACTGCAGCATCAGGCTCCAGGGCTCGCAAAAATTCAAAATCCCTGGTAGCCCTTCGGGCAGGTACTCTTCAGATTTTGGTAGACCGAAAAGTAATTTAACTACTTTTTTAAAATATAGAAAATCAGTTTAAATGTCAATCAAAAATATTTTCAATACACAAAAATCAACAAATATGCAGGAAGGAATTTTATTTAACTAATTACAGCGTATTTGCAGAATTTAAAAAAATACATTTAAAGAGGTCATATGATGCGATTTCAAGATTCCCTTTCTCTTTGTCCTTAAGTTTAACTCTGTGGGACTTTCCACCAATTTTATCATCCACCTGGCAAAACTAATCTGATTGGTTATAAAAGTATCAGCACACCTGCTCAACAGGCAGAAACTGACATGACAAACAGCTCAAACAAAGAGAGGAATTTTTCAGTATCAAAGGGAAGTCAACACTTTTCAGGAAGTCAAACAAAAATGGCTTACTTATTGTCTCTAAACATTAAGCTGTGACCGGAGGAAAAAAAGAAGAAGGGGAAAAAAACACAGCTTAAATGCTTTAAAAAAAGTGGTCTATTACATGAATGCTTATTTCCTCACTCTGCACCAAACACACACACAGTGATGATATCAGGACTGCAGCATCAGGCTCCAGGGCTCGCAAAAATTCAAAATCCCTGGTAGCCCTTCGGGCAGGTACTCTTCAGATTTTGGTAGACCGAAAAGTAATTTAACTACTTTTTTAAAATATAGAAAATCAGTTTAAATGTCAATCAAAAATATTTTCAATACACAAAAATCAACAAATATGCAGGAAGGAATTTTATTTAACTATTTACAGCGTATTTGCAGAATTAAAAAAAAATACATTTAAAGGGGTCATATGATGCGATTTCAAGATTCCCTTTCTCTTTGGAGTGTTACAAGCTGTTCGTGCATAGATAAGATCCCTAAATTTACAAAGAATAAAAGTCTCAAACCCAAAGAGATATTCTTTATAAAAGTTAAGACTCATCCACACCCTCCTAAAACGCCTCGTTTAAACACGCCCCCACATGTCTACGTCACTGTGTGGGAAGATTTGCATAACACCGCCCAAATGTTCACGCAAAGAAAGAAGACGTAACTTTATTGTTGCTGCCACCGCAGCTGCCATGTTGTGAAGACGCTGTGTTTCATTGTGAAAGTGAAACTACTTTGTTTGGTCTTCCAAAAGAGGACACGACTAGAAATCAGTGGTTAAGTTGTATTTACAACACTGTTCCAGAACACTTCAACCCAAATATTCAGATGTGTGCAACGCATTTTATGGAGGACTGTTTCCTGATCCTGGAAGAGTAGACTACAATGCCGGCTGTTCTGACTCACAGACTGTAAGTACGTTTTCATATTTAAAGAATTTGCCACTGATGATTCAAACGCGAGTTTTGAGCAGTGTAGAGTAGCACTTGTTGTTTGCCATTTCTCCGATTACAAATGCAAACATGGTTTTATGTTTACGCGGCGCGATGCAACGCAATGCATAAAAAGACAGTATAAGTCATTATAATCCATAATTATGTCCCCACTGGATGCAACAAATGCCTCGTTTATAATGGGTTTATTGGTTTTGTCTCGTCGCGCCAGGACACGGCATCACAGTATGGTAAGGGGCGTAACATTTCCATCACACGCTTGAGGAATTCGGCAATACAACGGCATTTCAGTCTTTAGACCATTTTTATGAAAAGGGATAAGTCAAGCATATAAAATGTCAATTTAAAACGTATAAATATTACTGTCTTCATTTTTTTGATTTTTAAAAGGCACATTAACTTCTTTCTCATTTACAACTCTATGCGTTTCCTGCGTCAAAACCATAGACTGTATAAAAACATGGACGTAGTGTCCATGATGTAACCCGTAGACTCGAGCGTTTTGAAGCCTAAAGTAGGCGGAGCCAGCCGCATCACTCCCGGATAATCGAAAATGGGCAAAGAGGCGGGAGCCGGCTGCTGAAACCACGGTCACCCAGCTCGACGGTGGGGGACGCA